CACATACATATACGTATATATACATATGAATATATACACATGCATATAGTTATATTTACACATACATATGTATACATCCACACAATATGTTTACATCCACACAATATGTATATATATATATATATATGTGTGTGTGTGTGTGTGTGTGTGTGTGTATGCCTGTGTTAGTGTATGGATGCACTTGCAAACATTGCAATCACACACCTCCATAAGCATTTACAGAAAGCTGTATTCTGAGAAGCGTTAGCTAAGCAGATGCCATTGTCTAGCGCTTCTCGTGTCGTCATTAGTGTTATCTTTTTCATTATCCTGGACTGTACTTGATGCCGTTCATTCTTAACAAAATGATTATACCTTGCTTGTTTACAAATAGCCTTGTTTTCCTCCTCCTTCTTTCTTTCTTTTTTGTGAATAATGAGACGGGAATAGGTAGGAGAGGGAGGGGAATTATTATATATATTGGGTTAAAAGAATTATATAAACGGAATGTTGTTTTAACTCATGCGGCAGTGGTGCTGTCGCTGCAATAGAATTTTCCAGTGTACAAAATGACGGAAAAGTTTCCAAGCGGTTTCTGTATATATTTATATTTTTTCGATATGAATATTTGCGGACTCCAGACTCGTTCGTGGATTCGCGAATAAGTGGAAGCGATAGGCATTTGGCGAAGAGACTGAGGAATATTTTTGAAATATGTGATTGATATTGCATCGCCTGGGTACAAAAATGCGGGTTTTGTTGCACACAACGCATCCCGGCTTTTTATTATTTAGCGGGGGGGGGGAATTAATAGATAAATGTATTTTGAAAACTTGTTACTTTGTACGTTTTTTTTTTCTTCTTTTCCTTAATTAGTTTCGTTATTTCATTGTCTGTATTTTAAATGTTTATTTTTTATTTACTTTTTTTGTCGTCTTCGTTAAGCAGAGCGGATGGTGTTGCTTTTGACCTCTAGCGCTACTCGGCATTATCTTGCCTCGGATATGGCTTACGATACCGCGTGCTCTCTAACCCCGATCCTGCTGTCCCTTACACCTTTCCCTGCTGCTGTCCTTCATCCCTTCCCCTGCTGCTGTCACACCTTTCCTTGCTGCGGTCACACTTTTCCTTGTTGTTGCCTCTTAAACCCTTTTTTTTCTTCTTCTTCTTCGCTGTCGCTTTCCATGAAGTCTTTTCCCTGCTGATATCTCTTTCTCCTGCTGTTCCCTACGCATTTCCCTCTGCTGTCCCTTACACCTTTTCTCCACCGCCGTTCCCCCAACACCTTTACCTGCTCGCACATTTCCCCTGTTGATCCTGTTCATTATCACTTATGTCTTTGTCCCGTGTTTCAATTTTTGTTGGTTGAGAGAGAGAGAGAGAGAGGGGGGGGAGAAAGGGAGGGAGGGAGGGAGGGTTGGAAAGGGAGGGAGCGAGAGAGTTAGAAATGGAGGGAGGAATGGTGGCATGGCTGAAGGAAAGCATTAAAGAGAAGAGGTCGAGCTTGTGTCACCTTGCTGCCACGGCACTCCTCACCGCAGCACTCAACACCACCGCGTTCTCGCCACACCGCCCCCGACACTACAGGTCCCTCTTCCGTTGCACCATCAGCATCATGTAACCCTCTCTCACCATAAAGCTATACTGATTAGATTGCCTTCACCCACGACTGGTCGAGGAGGAGAGGGGGAGGGGGGGGAAGGGGGAAGAACGCACGGCTAACGAGGTGGGAGAAAGGAGAGGGAGGCTGAAAAATCGAGGAGGAGAGGTTTATCGCCCGAAGCCTCCGAGTGTTGCGCAGTTCTAGCTCCGGAGTTCCACGCGGAGGTAATCCTCGGCGCAGATTATGCTGAGGTCTCGCTTTCTCATCAGCTTTCGCCTTGAGGGTCTCTCGCAGCGAGCAGATTCATCAAAATGGGCTTTTCCGAGACGTTTCCCTTTGAGATTTTGCGCCGGAGATTGCCTGCCCGGGTGCGGGAAGGACGGGAAAGTCTGCGGGATCTGCGCTCCTGTTTTCGTTTAATATTCTGGATGATGAAAAAAACAAGAAGCATTTTGACTCCGGTTCTGTGATCTTTTCGGGATGTATATTTATTCTTGAAAAGCTGCCTTGCTCCCCGAAGGACGCTTCTTGTCTCGGCGATCATTGTCTAACAGATTTCAGCCTTCCCGCCACTCATTTCAGTGGAAATTCTCGAGTGATCAGTGTTTGCACACGTGGCCTCGGCCTAGGCATCATGTCGAAGGACGTATCCTAACTCGGAGAAGATTTTAGAAAGTGGGCGATGTTCTCGTCCCTCAAAGAACGGCGTCCCTTGTCGCAGTTGACGAGAATCGAATCGCTTTTTGCCCCGCATCAAATGTCAGTTGATTCTCGTGTGTTTTAGGCCCGTTACCCCAGTCCGCGCGCCGGTGCAGGGGCCACGGGGAGCCTCGGGGGAGCCTCGGGGCGCGGGGAAGAAGACTCGAGTCGCCACGGGAGCGCTGTTCCCTGGGATCCCCCCCCCTCCCCGGATCTTCCTGCTTGCACGCGGTGGTCGAGGTGTCCGCCGTATCCGTCAGTTGAAGGGAGTTCAAAATGCTCTTCCGAGATGCGCGTCGTTGAAATCTGTCCCCTGACGTCACATCAGGTCCTTTAGTTTTGATTGAAGAACCCGCAGGGGATTTTCCCTCGTTTTTAGTGCGAACGCTAATCTGTTTATCAGCACTGCTGGTACTGTCCCTCGCACACTTATCTTTCATCGTTACAGGTACCATTATTGGCATTCTTGGCGTACCTGTAATAGTTTCCCGTTAGTTTGATCATTCAGAAATTATGTACTAATTTTCATCCTGGGGAAACTAGAAGGAAACTCGTCACGATTTCTTTCCATTTAGAGGAAGTGCATAGGTGAGGCAACTCTTGGGTGAGTGCTGTTGCTTGTGCCAGGTGCCAGTGCCGTGCCGTGTGCTGGGGTCAGATCTCGGCAGAAGTTGGTCAGCTTTAATGTTGGTGACTTTAGACAGATCGCTGCCGCCTTCCGTCCGTGGCTTTTCCCGGATTGATGTATCTGCGAACGCCCCTGGTGTGACGTCATCGGGATTCTCCCAGAGTTGCTGGGAGTGACTCACTTGGTGTGGGGTTTGAGTCACATCGGGGAGTGCCATTTCTTGCAATTTGAGAAAGAAAATGGTGAAAGAGAGGTGGGGCTGAGAGAGAGAGAGAGAGAGATGGAAAGGGAGGAAGTGTTGGAATGTATATTGCGCGCACGTGATCGCCTTAAGGTGTCCCGGTTTTGAAGAACAAGGTATGGGCCACGTGATAATGCTTGCTGGTTTTAACGGCTGCACCTGAATTTGTGCTTTGCATTTTGAGTCTTTCCTTCCCTTCTTCTCTTCACCTCTCCCTCCCTCTATTCCTCTCCTCTCTCCCCTGTAACCCTCCTTCATTTCCCCTTCTTTCCCTCTCTCCCTTCCATCGAGGCATATTTTCACACAAAAAGGCATCTCTCCTACTCCCTCCCTCTCCCCCTTCTGACCTTTTCTGACTTTCCTTTCCCCTTCCCCCCCTCAATATTTTCCTCCTTGGCATATTTTCACACAAAGAGGGCAAATGAGAACAGGAAGAAAAAGATATTCATCCTGCAGTCCTACCCATCTCATTACGTCATCGCCCCTGCTAATTGCCATTACACGCGGTCTATGATTGCCTCGCCGCGCACGCTCCCCTTTCTAATTGAGGCACTCGGAGGCGTAATGACGGGATGCGAACCCAAGATGCGGTCGTCGTGGCGTCCGTCCGAGAATAAGATGGATGCGTACGCCCCCGAGAGTCCGCCTGTGCGTACGCGGGAGGGTCTTGGCGGGCGTCAATACGTGTGCAGTATTGATAGTGTTGGAGGGGGGGGAGAGGGAAGGGGGCCTGGCGTGGCGGTAGAGGAGGTGGAGGAGGAGGAGGAGGAGGCGTGGCAGAAGGCGCATGCGCATGGGTTGTGTACTCTCACCAGGTACTTTCCCAACACGCCCACCAAGACATCCGACCGCCTCCCCGCCCGCCCTGGTTGCTCGCGCACTAACTTCTTGCATTACTTCTTTTTGTCTTTTCACTTTTGGTTTTGAACCCCCCCCCCCCTCTCTCTCTCTCTCTCTCTCTCTCTCTCTCTCTCTCTCTCTCTCTCGTGTGTGGTGGGTTGGGGGGGGGGTCGATGGAGGAAGTATAAGGAAAGATGGTCCTCTTTCACCTCTGAATTTGTGAAGAGCCTGTTCCCTTTTCCTTAATTTTCATCTAACACGAGTAGTGTTGCCTTTCCTTATACACAATCTTGTTATGAAGGAATAGGTATCCGTACTCGTAAATTGGTGTATGCTTCGAAGGGAGCCGGTATTTTTATTCACCTTAGCTAATTCTCTCGAAAATGATGGGTTATTAAAAAATCAGCAAATGCAGTTTCTTGCAGGGCGAAGTATTTCTGCAACAGCAAAACAATAGGCCTTTGTCTCGACGATAGCCCGGCCCCGAGTAGGCCTAAACCCAAGCGGCATAATTTGCTGCGCATACACGGCCTGTGTGCAACTGTCCCTTGTAAATCCGCCAGATGTCTGAAGTGCGGGAGAGCCACCTGGCGTAAGCTGGCTCGGCGTAGGGATATTTGGGATGGTTGCCGGACACTTGGGCAAAAGATGGTTAATTTTGTTTTCTTCCCTTTTCAATGACACTGGTTGCAACGGTCTTGAGTAGGAATTTTAGGTTAAAAAAAGGATATAGGAATGTGGCCCACTCTGCGCACGTGTAGAGAGGCCTGCTGTCCAACTTTCTTTTCCACGCACTACCAATCTCCCATCCCCACCCGCAATAACCAATCTTACAAACATCCTTTCCTGTGCTCTTGTCCCTGTTCGTTCTCCTTCTGTTTCCTCTCTATACATCGTAAGTTCTTCCATACTCATAAACATTTGCGAAATCTCATGGGAACATTTTAATTATTGTAAATTGCAGTGAAATTTGAAAAGCACAAAGTAATTTCGTGTTTCTCCATCCACAGAGGCAAGATGGTGGATCAGCAGCAATTCTGTCTGCGGTGGAACAACCACGGGTCAACCCTGGTGGCCGTGTTTGAGAACCTTCTGGCCAGCGAGTCCTTAGTGGACGTCACCCTTTTTGCGGAGGGAAAGCTCTTCAAAGCCCACAAAGTAGTCTTATCCGCGTGCTCGCCATACTTCCAGGTCAGTGTTATTTCTGTGGTTGTATTCATGTGCATTGATTAATTATTGTCACCTTCAGAGGATTTTGAGTTTCGTACTGCTTTTAGGTTATCATTTTGCCTAACTAAGCTTTGCCTTTTCCTTTTCTTTTACAGACGCTGTTTGCTCAAACTATAGATAAGCACCCAATTGTGATATTGAAGGATGTCAAACATGTCGAGCTCAAGGCCTTATTGGACTACATGTACCGCGGAGAAGTCAACGTGTCACAGGACCAGCTTGGACCGTTGATAAAGACTGCCGAGTCCCTGAAGATCAAGGGCCTCGCAGACGGTAGCAATAAGGCTGAGGGAGGAGACACCAGGTCCTCGCACCCTGCCGGCCATGATGTCCCCAAGACCGAAAATTCCCTCGATAGCAAGTCTGGCCGCTCAAGCCTGGATGCCTTCCCCACGCCTCCAGTCTCTGTCCCCTCAGTGTTGTCTACGGTGCTGACCATGCCTCCAGCACTCAGTTTGGCTTCCTCAACTCTGGTTCCTCCTATAAAATTACCCAACTTAGCGACGACAACGGTAACGGATCCCACCCCCCGAGAAGACGGCGATTCGCCTCATACAAAGCGAAGAAAGAGAATGCGGCGGAAGTCGGGAGAAGGCGGAGACAGCGGAGACAGCGATGGCAGGTCCTCAGGCTCACCAGGAGATGGCATCCATCTACCACGTATTCCTGCAACTATAACGCCCATTGCAGCTCTACATCCTAACCGTGACCAGCACCAGCAGCACAAAGAACGTGAGAGAGATCTCGAAAGGGAAAGGGAATGGGAACGCGAGCGGGAACGGGAGCGCGAACGTGAACAGGAAAGAGAACGAGAGCGAGAGAGGGAACGAGAAAGGGAACGAGAACGAGAGAGGGACTCACGAGAACCACTCAGAGTAAACAGTCCTTCGCCCGAAAACCTGGTCGGTTCGTCGAGAGGAGACAGCCATGTGGATATCCCTCGGTCGTCCCCTGCCAGTCGTCCGGACTCCGATCCCCGTTCGAGTAGCCCGAGTAAAGCCCTGTCACTCCTTGTACGACCAGACGAAAACAGCAGCGATGCAAACCACCAGTCGGACGATGAATACGAAGAGAGGAACCATGACCGTCCAAGCCATGACCAGATGCCTGACACGCCTGGGCCTTCCACCTCACGCCTCTTGACCGACGACGCTCCACACACACCAAGTGAGTTTTTGCTATTATTTTTTGTATTTTCCCGAGAAGGGATTGTAGTAATTAACATCAGTTAAACAATCGAGACAAAACCAATAAGATAAATTTCAGGAAATAACATTAGTTCGAAGTACATGAACTTGAAGACCACCTCTTCAAGTAGACTTGTAATCCACCCGTTTAGAACTTGCTGTGACTGTAGTCAAGTATCTATATTCCAATATTTTGATTAAAGAAAAGTCACCAATACGTTGTCATATCTAAAACCCAAGTATTTTCATTCCATAGGTTACATGTGGCCGTACCCACCCGACACGTCAGCCAGCGATGAGACCTCTTTCCCCTCGCTAGAAAATAATCAAGGTAAAGTGACAGATGTGAAGGATATTGTAGCCTTAGTGGACATTTCAAGATTTTTTTTTCTGTTTTCTTGTTTTTAAAGCTATTTTATTGGTTAATTTTTGAGTCATAAATTTCAGAGAGGGACAAGAATAATTTTTGATATATTTCTTTTTATAAATTATATAGTATCCATGATATAATTATTTGTAAATGGAAAATCTATTCAACTTTTTTTAATTTTCTTGGTCCACTAAGGTTTCTGTTTGGTAGTAATGTAGCTAGCACTTGGCACAAAACTTATTTTGACTGATTTATATTGGCCATAATTGTTTAAGCACAGTAAATATTATTCTGTATCAAGACACTTCTATCATACTATTTTTTCTTTTTCTTTTTTTTTTAATTAATTTATTTACTCCACACTCATGATATCCATGTGTTTTTCCTTGATTTAAGAAAATACATTTGATTTTTGTTTCCCCCCAACTCTTTTTGATTATTTTATTGTCAGTTAACTCACGCACAGGTCTCAAATTTGCTTCACTTGACAAGAGATATTCAGTGCCAATGTAGTGTAGTGATGACGTAGCCTTGTAGAGACTAGCTGAAGGTGGAGAGTAGCCACATGTAACACACTTATTGGGCAGTCCCATACATTTCTTAGAGGTAATAGTCAACTTTAGTGGGTTCAGGGTGATGGTGTTGTACTGCTCTGTTCTCGGCTTGGCAACTGCTAGTGTTGCATCACCTGAGGACATGTCAGTGTATATATATATATACATT